TTCATTTCACCGCATGATGACCTAAAAGGGCACCCCTCCAAATAAAATAAATTTACACATATTTTATTTAAGAAAGCCATTTGATCAGGTGGGCCCATGTTGAAAGTGGTTGGGCCTGGGCGAAAAAACTCCCATGACCCTTGTGCTCCCCTCCAGAAAATTCTCTGGACCCAACCCAGTTAAGAAATTTGCATGTGGGTTGGGTTTTGGATTTTGGCTTTAAAACTAATGCTGGGTCCGAGTTTAACTTTAGGACCCACTGAGTACTCTTATCTGCCTGTGTGTGTGTGTGTGTGTGTGTGTGTGTGTGTGTGTGTGTGTGTATGTGTGTGTGTGTGTGTGTGTGTGTGTGTGTGTGTGTGTGTGTGTGTGTGTGTGTGTGTGTGTGTGTGTGTGTGTGAGCACACGTATGTGGGAGAGTGAAATTCTGAAGGTTCTGGGATTTTTGTTGGCTGCACTTGTAACGATTCGTAAGTGGTTACTTTAAATTCAAATTCAATTAAATTCAAATTCAAAAATACTTTATTAATCCCAGAGGGAAATTCAATTGTTTCAGTGCAGACAATTCCAAGATCAGACATGCATACATAGACACATGACAAGAATTGGTGACTGTGGTCATTCGCAACATGAGTCGTGCCATCGTTATAGATCAGGAGGGTTTATATGAGGATAGTCGGGGGAGGGAAAAGAAAGGCACTTCAGAGTTACCCTCAACAGAGGGTAACTCTGAATAGCATAGCTTTGCTATGCAAAAAAAAAAAAAAAACACCTCAGACAGATATGCACACAGACTTCAGATGATACACAACATAAGTCTCCACTAGGTGGGGATGGAAGGCTCTGGGACTCTCCTCACTTCAGAGTGCGCAACCGCAGAGCAGCGCTGACCACCTCAGTTTGGAAAAGGGAGGGAGATAATTGGGTTAGAGAGCACATTGAATCCTAGAGATGGTTCCACGGCAAGAATTGTTTTGGGTACAGGCAGAGATAATTTCCTCTCTGCCTTAGAGTTCTGTCGGTCTTCAACCCCTCCAGATCCAATAATGGCGTTATCAAACTATTCCAATTCGTGCTGATCCGTCAACTCTCTCCTTGATCAAATTCACCTTCTGTGCCAGAGCCTGAATCTCAGCCAAAGTTCCAAGCTTAAGACTCATCTGGACAATTATCTGAGTATGTGAGTTTACAGCACGATGCATTCCATCCCTGAGCTCCGGGATTAAGCCAATATTCCTCAAAAGCTTGTTAATTTTCCAGAATGCCAGGTAACCGCTCAGGCCAAACAGCAGCAATCCCGACACCAAAACGACGAATATCCAAACATCTTCAGAATCCTCTACTGACAGTTGAGAGAGGCATATCAAGTTCCACTGTTTCCAGGAGTCCATGATATACCCAGCTGGCTCTGTCCCAGAGGGGCATCCGGGAGCCCCTTCTCCCGTTCTCATTGTTGAAAAGATTTTGTCAATCGTGTTGAAAGACCAACTGACCAGATCCATGTTTAATCATTTCCAGTTTCCAGTAAAAATGCAGAGAAGTGCAGTGCACAGGCAGACAGGACACAAAGAGCCTTGGGAAAAGCAGGGAGGGAGATGAGGAAAAAAGCATCTGCACTCACCAAGAGCCAGAAAACAGTTCCGGCGGGCCAGGAAAGCTGTAACCTGAGTCGGATCCAGAGCATATCATCCTGGTCTGGGCTTAATAGGTGGATGGTAGTGTTTTAAACAGTTCCAGCAGGCCAGGAGAGCAGGTTCCTGGCTTGGAACCATGGCATAGCACTGTGCGATACGCTCGAGCAGAGGAGAGCAGTGTTTTAAACTGTTCAAGCCGACCAGGAGAGCTGTATCCTATGTCAGATCGAGGCTGCAACACCCTGGTCTGGGATCAAGAGTTGGATGGCAGTGTTTTAAACAGTTCCAGCAGGCCAGGAAAGCTGTACCCTGGGTCAAAAACCAGGGCACAGCACCCTGGTCTGGGCTCCTGAGGCAGATGACGGTGCTTTCACTGACTGTAGCCTTTTACACTGTTGACCATCACCTGATACTGGAGAGGCTGAGAGACTCTTATCTTTCTGAGCGCTCCTTTTCTGTGGCTGTCTCCAAGTTTAGGTCCTCCACCACCTCTCTTACCCATGGTGTCCCACAAGGTTCTGTGCTGGGGCCTCTGCTCTTCTTCCTCTATCTGCTTCCTCTTCAGCACATCCTGAGCTCCTTCAAAGGAATCTCTTACCATCTTTATGCAGATGACATCCAACTGTACATCTCCTTTAAGCCCCATGAGATGTGTAAGCTGCAGCTGTTACACACCTGCTTAGACTCTATTAAAACCTGGATGGTGGGAGCTTTCTTCAGCTGAATGAAGACAAGACTGAGATCCTCATCTGTGCCCCAGACAAGCTGGTTCCCAAAGTCAGAGACTCTCTTGGTCAACTTGCTTCTCACACCAAACCTTCTGTCAGGAATCTTGGCATAACCTTTGACCCAGCTCTCACCCTGGATTCTCATGTCAGTTCTCTTGTTGGCTCTTCCTTCTTCCATCTCAGGAACATTGCTAAGCTGAGTCCCATTCTGTCCCGCTCTGAACTTGAGACAGTTCTCCACACCTTCATCTCCTCACGCTTAGACTACTGTAACTCTCTTTTCACGTGTCTGAGCAGAACCTCCCTGAACCGTCTACAGGTGGTTCAGAACGCCTGTGCTCGGCTTCTGACCAAGTCCTCCAAACACACCCACATCACCCCGCTTCTCCTCCAGCTTCACTGGCTGCCAGTCAACTTCAGGGTTCATTTCAAGATCCTGGTTCTGGTCTATAGGGCCTTACATGGACAAGCACCATCTTACATTGGTGATCTTCTTAGTCTGTTCATCCCCAGCAGGTCCCTGAGGTCCAGTGATCAAAGCCTACTGGTTGTGCAGCACCAAGCTAAAGACCAAAGGTGACAGATCATCTGCTGCTGTGGCCCCCAGACTCTGGACCTCTCTCCCCCTGAGCCTGAGATCAGTGGACTCAGTGGTCTCCTTTAAAAAGCAGCTGAAAACTCACCTGTTCAGGCTGGCTTTGGTGTGGCCTTCATCCCCCTCTCCTTGTTCTGCTATCCCTACCTATTCAATTCAGTCCAATTCAAGTTTATTACATATACTTAACATAAACTTGAATTGACTTCACATACGATAACACAATATACAAACAACTGGAAGGCTTCGCCATGGGTAACCCGTTATCAGCCACCCTGTGCGAGTTTTTCATGGAAGACCTAGAACAAAAAGCCATAGCCACTGCCCCCCCCCCCCCCCCAAAAAAAACTGCAAAATAAAGCTATGGAAACGCTACGTATACGACATACTGGAAATCATACCAAAAGGACAAACAGAAACACTAACACAACACTTGAATAACATTGACAACACAGGCAGCATAAAGTTCACTTATGAGTTAGAAACAGAAGGCAGCATAGCATTTATGGACATGGAAATCACCAGACAGACCGACGGGACCCTAAACATAAACACATACAGGAAAACAACACACCCAGACCAATACTTATTATGGACATCAAAACACCCCACCATACACAAAATGTCAGCAATCAGAACATTATGTCACCAAGCAAACATGGTAACAGAAGAAAGAGACCATAAACAAGAGGAAAAACACATACAACATGCTTTAATGACCTGCGGATACCCGACATGGGCAATAAACAAAGGAAAATAACAAACAACAACAGAAAGAAAAGAACAACCAAAGCAAAGAACCAGAAACCCAGAAAGACAAGAACCAGAACCAGTGATAACCCTACCATACATCAAAGGCATAACAGAAAAAATAAGAGCAACAATGAAAAAACAACATAAACACACCAACAAAGCCATACACAACAATTAGAAACAGACTAGTGCACCCAAAAGACAAAATACCAGCTGGACATAAATGTGGAGTCATTAACGAAATCCCACGCAAACTCTGCAATAAAACATACATAGGAGAAACTGGACGCCAACTCAACACACGAACAATAGAACATAGAAAGGAGTGTGAGAAAGAAACAAGTCGAAAACACACAAGAGCAGCAAAAGAAGCACAATAAAGAAGTCAGCCGTAACAGATCACTGCACAAGATAAAACCATATAATGGACTGGGACAACACAAGGATCATAAACACCGAACAACAGAAATACAAAAGATGGATAAAAGAAGCTATCGAGATAAGGAGACGTGGATGTGGGACCATGAACAGAGACGATGGGGTCTACACATTGGATCGCACATGGGACTGCATCGTCGGAGAGGGGAGAGCGGGCAGCAGAGTGCGACAACGTCCTCTGCTGCCCGCAGATAAACAGAGCAGGAAGTGACGGCGCCACCATCAGCGTCAGCTCTGAGGAAGTTCTGCAGTCTGCAAACGAAACGTCAGCAAGGTAAAGAAAAACCTTTTCTGTGTTTAAAAAAAGAACCAAAAATGGAACCTAGTTCAATTGTTCTAGTAGGCAGCAATAATGACTTTAGGGTTCTGTCAAACTTCATTTTACTTACTGGGATATTTATTGTCCTCTTATTGTTACCTGACTCCTTCCTGGGCCATCCTGGGCCAACAAGGATGGAGACCACTGCTTGTGGTTCTGTGCTGCATTCACTTACAATCCGACTTTTTTTTTTTTTACTTTGAAAATGTCCTCCTATGTCCATTTTAACGTCTACATTTTAGATTTTATATTTTAGTGTGTTTTATAAAACATACATAGTTTGTTTTAGTTGTTGAATTGTTTTATTTATTCATTTTTATTTTTTTACTGTTTATATGATACAGATGTTTGTCTCAGTTTGGACACACACACACACACACACACACACACACACACACACACACACACACACACACACACACACACACACACACACAACGTGTGGCCAGTGTCCGCCACACCACCCCCTCCCCCCGGTCCCTCCCCTGCCCTAACAGAGAATGAAAAGTGGACATGTCCGGGGAAAGGAGAATGTTTGGTAGAAGATTGCAGGGACCAGCAGCAGCAGCAGCGTTGTGGAACAAAACCGGAAAGAGGCTGGTTCTGGTTGGGTTCGTGGGATTTGAACAGAAACAACCACTGGGTAAAGAAAGTAGCGCCGATGTGATGGCAGCCAGGTTTAGCGGAGGGATACATCGGTGGTGAAGCCTGTGAATGCTTCAGGACTGAGCGGAGGAAAATGATTATGGATTTGGTGCTGCTTAGTCGTCAGACAGCAACGCTTGAGCGGGTGGAGACTGTTATTCATTTAAATCCCTGCTGTCGGGGTTTCACCTTCCAACGACCAACAATTTTTAATTTGTTTTATTTTTATAACGTTGGATTTTAAAAACAGCCATTTTGATGTCGTAAATGACTGCTTTTTAGGGACATCGCTGTTGGGAAGTTTTGCTAGGGGGTGGGGGGGAGGGGGGTGTTCGACTAGTGAAGTCGACCATGGCTGTCGAGGCTCGGCCGGAGCTGGTCGGGAAGCGGTTCCTCTGTGTCAGCGGAGACAAGTCACCTGAAATCGGCGACATCGCTCGTTGGCCATGGAGGACTGGGGTCATACGAGCCGTCAGCAATCGCGACAGCGACACCGAGCTGACGGTAAGGAGACGCTGGTCGGAGCTTCCGCTGTTCTGGGATCTTCTGTGGTTGTTGGCTAGCCAGCGACTCGATGCTGTCGCTCCGCCAGCCTGGGTTTATTCTGGGCTTGCTTTGTTCTTATTGGACGGACCACTCTACATGTATTTGTTACTGTTGACAGCTAAAGTGGTATTATTTCTATGAATCTTGTAACTCTATTTATCAAACAACAACAAAAGTAAGAGGTAGGTAGGCAGCCAGCCAGCGGGGGTTATGAAAAGCAAATAGCGCGTCTCTAGACAGCTCTGCTTATTCCACCTAAACTAAATGAGCTAATGTAAGATTGACACCCACCGGGCTCTTCAGGGCTGTAAAGTCCCTGGTCCACACAGGATTACCAATAAAATCCTGGCAACACTTGGCAGTCGTGGAAGTGGGTGTAGGAATTTTACTCCCAGACGCTCCATGTTTAATCTGCTCTAACAGCAAATCAGCTGACGGCGGCGGGTTTAGCTCCCCACAGCTACTCCTGCCTCACAGACCGGACTGATCCTGATTGGGTCGTGGGTTCCGTTCACAGAGCTGTTTTGGGGGACCAGTACTCGATAATATGTGTGTGTGTGTTTAGTTTCTAGCTGATCACAACCCCAGGGGTTCGAACAGAGACGCAGGAATGCTGCTGGCACGTGTAAAAACATCAAGTAGGCTCGATGAACAATGGTCGGGTTGTGTTCACAAGCATCAAGAGAACATGCTGTCATTCCCATGCCACGCAGCAGCAATATGTCCCCTGGCTTGGACTAGATGATGTTTTATAATCAAATCACGGATTTTGCTTTGTCTAGAAATCACAGCCCCTCATATGTAGAGGCTTTTTAAAAGCCCATGTGCCAACATAGCAACAATGAAAATGTGTCGTTTAACAAGCCCCTGGCTGGGACCACAGTATAAGCCAGTACACAATGTGCAGGGAGGGTGTTCTCCGTTTTCTTTTGTTCCCAGACACCTATCTGCCTGTGCAGATAACACAGCCACCCACAACACACCTCTGATTTCATCATTCAGCATGCTGGCTTTGCTTCTAGGTGTCTTTCCAGAGAACAGCTTCCTCACATTAATGGAATCAGCCAACAATGAATATGTTAGAGATGTGTCTGTGTTGTGTCTGATGTAACTGATCTGCTTTAGTTTAGTTTTGGTGTTGTCAGTTAAGCGTAAAAGGAGGTAAACATTAATGTTTGTTCAAATCATCAGTAAATATCATCAGAGACCTGGCTCACACAGCAACTTAATTATGCCAATTCAATTCTTTTTAAACCAGATTATTTTCTTTTGACAACCTTAAGGATGCGCCTGACAGCTGTAATGCTTTGAACATAAATTGATCCGATACATATTCCTGCTGTGTATGATGTGTGTTAAGAGCGCTCTGGTTTGTATGGAAGACCGCCAGAAATGCTCCAATCGTAAATTGAGGTTATCAAGCATTTTATCTTGGTTCTTTTTGGGGACAAATGAGCGTCCTGCCTATTGACCCTTTGCACCGACGTCACCTAATCACGTGGGTCCACCATGGTGGATGGCTAAAGCATGTAAACAGTGAGCGACAATTACTAAACAAAGGGAAAAGTAGAGCCTGAAACAGTTTTTGCGATCAAAACAAAAACAAAACTGCTCCAGCATTCCTTCCACTAGTTCAGTTATCAGAAGAAGTCGCGCATCTAGCGGGGGCTCATAGAGAGCGGTATGCTAACTAGCTTACCAACGTTAGCTTACGTTCTCTCTGCAGCTGTTCGCCGATGTAAACATGTTGCTGACTTTGCCTAAATTCACCCCTCTGGATTTATAACTTTATGTTGTAAACAACGTTTCACTTTACACCAAAGCTGATTGTTAAAGTCCGGATCCCTACCAGCTTCTGTTGCTGGTACCGGGTTCAGCTGCTGCTCACACCGGAATGAGAAGATCTCTGAACGCCGACGCTCTTATAAATAAATAAATAACGTCATTTTAACACACGTAATCATACATCGGAGCTTTAATATTGTTAATAATTGTCTCGCTTTACACTACAGTGGACGGAGCGCAGCCCCCGTGGTGAAATACCCGTCCATCAGGATTATAAATAACTAGTATAAACACATCACATTTATCCCTGTCCCTGTCTTCCTCGTGAAATAAATGAACGTTCATCTTACCCGGTAAAAACATGTTCGCTGCAAATCTGAGGCCTGCTAGTCCGCTTGATTGATCGCTGCAGTTCGTCTCCGTCCTCAGTCTCCATCAAAGTTATTAAAAACAAAAACGAGTTGAGTTTATGTCCGTGTCTGTTAGTGCAGCCAACCACACAGCAAGCTAAAACCATTTTACTGTCAAATCAACTAAATAAAAGCCCTAAAAGGCTGCAAGCTTACTTGTTTTGACTAGCTTCACTGGAGTTTCTACGGGTGTAAACGGTCTTTTTGCCGTCCATCATGGCGAAGGGGGCGGTCACATGAGTGGCGTGACGTCACGTGCAAAGGGTCAATATAGGGAGCCTAAGTTACTTCCGCATCATGGGTCCCCGGAAGAACGAAAAAAATGAATGCAAGTCAATGGGGCTAAAACACTACATTCTAATTCCGCTTGTTATGTGCCATGGGTTTCCCATATCATGGCTATGAATTGTAGAGACACATTTTGATACTAGGAAAGCGCTTATTTTTGAACGGGGGAAACACTTTTTTTAGGTTTTGTGTGAAAATACGTCCAGGACTACAAATGCGCATCACGAAAGTGATGTCATCGAACCAGACTCTTAAAAAACAGAGGGAAAATGGCTGTAAGTTCAGTGAATTTCAAATCCTTCCTTCAGGAGGTAAGAACCACCATAAATATGGCCATTTGGTAAGTAGCAGCTACGCTAGGGGAGAGAAGATTCTGTGGTGACATAACATGTGCGACGTGCTGATGTCTGATTTCTGGTCATGCTAATTACGAACTTTTACAAGCTGATAAATCTCAAAGTATGTGACTGGCATGGCCGAAACACACAGGGTATCCGCAGGGTCTTAAAGTCTAAAAAGTCTTGAATTTGATTAAAGGAAAATAAACTCATTCACTGCCAACATTTTTCAGCTTGTTTACAGTTTTTTTTAAGAGTCACAGAACGTTGCGCTCTATGATGACTTCAACGCCAGAACTACCAAAACAAAGAGCAGATTCACCTCTTATGTTGGGAAGAATCTGCGCGCTTCGAGCGTTATCCGTTCTTTCATAATCCGTTGTCGAATTGTGGTCAGCAGAAGCTTTTCCAGTTTGCGCCTCTTTTTTTTTACAGCAGCGGTCCAAAACGATCTAACACGTAGATTTTCTGTTTCCCGATCATGTGACATGTGACGTACATGGATGAAGATTGGCTGTAGAGCTGAGATGTTTGTTCTCAGGGTGCGAAGGCCTCGTTCCAACGCCCACACAGTAAAAAAGTCGTCATTGGCAGTGAATGAGTTAAGACCCTTAAAAGTCTTTAAAAAGTCTTAAATCTATTTAGGAAAGTCTTAAATTTGGTTAGTATTGACGTGAATTTAAAATTTGTTCGTCTCATACTTGCAAACTTGTCGCTTTTCAGTGAAAATTGCCTTTTTATGAAACCAAGTCAACTGGCAGCAATTGGAGCTTAAAGTTCGTAAAATCAACAAAATCCCCTTCCAAGTACCACAGTATTCTGTGAAGGACTTTAACAGGTTTGTCTCCTTTCAGCTTCAGCCTTAACTGATGTTTCCCGAGGCTTGTGTTCTTTTTGGGGCGAGTTGTGTAAACCCTTCTAGGCATGTCTACCCTACATGTTATATATGAGATTTGAAATTAAGAAGAAAAATTTGCTAAACAGTATGGATCTGTTCTCAATGAGATGTTAGTGGAAAATAAACAAACCGTTCTAAAGATGTTTCTGGTACTTTTACTATCATTCTGTTGTGGAAAGTCAGCACAAATATTCAATGAAAATGTTAAAAAGCTGCTTAAACCTTCATTATTTTGTAACGGGCCTGTATATTTATAAAATCAGTTGATTGTTTAACGTAACTGTAGCTAAAGTTACTCAGAGCCACTGTAGAAGGTCCAGTCTGAGCTAAGCTGTGGTAGCTAGAGAGGAACTGAGAAACAGCATTAAAGCTTTTGCTTGTTCAAGTTTAATTCAAATAGAACATATCATAATAGACATCAATTATATAATAATTGTATGTATATGTTTGTCATGTTAGAGATAAAAAGCAGAGTAGTTATTTTTTGTTTGTTTTACTTTATCGTTGAAGCTTTACGTCCCACAGTGAGTAGTCTCTGACCCACATTTGGCGAGTTGGGATCTGCTCATCCTACTTAAGAATGATCAGTGTTGGGCAAGTTACTTCAAAACTGTAATGCAATATTTATTACTTGTTACCCTCGTTTTAAAGTAATTCATTACATTACAATATTACTGATTTAAAAATGTAAGGCATTACACTACTTTTGCATTACTTTAAGTTACTTTCACCAAAACAACTTCAGTATGAATCTGGTCATGTGACGCTCAGTGAGCTCATGACATATATGTGGAAGGTGATGTGGTGTCTGAGCTAGGGTTGCTGTTAAAAACAGTCAGATATAATAACGGTGCTTTAAAATGATTGTTTATTAAATAAAAGCAACAACAATCTGTACTCTCAACACGCTGCCATTAACTGAGCAGGGAGTGGGGTGGTGGGGGCTCCAAGCCTATATTTGCCTTGGTCCCCAAATGTCTTGATACGGCCCTGGATGTGGGACTGACTTTTGGGGTGATCTGATTCTATCACACGTATAAATATTAAATGCTTATATATTATTGCTTTTCACTGGTAAAAATGTGTGTTGGGGATAAATCAACCTATTTTTTTTCTTCTTGATTTTTGAATAATTTCTGGCCCTTTCTCTCTCTGACCTTCCTGCATGCTGCATGTTTTCTCCGTCTTCCAGAAAAACTGTAAACCAGATTTCCTACTTTCTAACTAATCAGCCAAAGG